TGTGACCACGGAAGATTGTCTTCGGACAAAAACGCTGGCTCTATGGCTTGGAAACGGGGATGAGCACCGCCCCCTAGAGTCGAACACGACTGGACAAAAATTGTCAAGGGGAACCTTTACCTTTTTATTTACCGTACTTAAATTATTTATATGCAGCCTTTCCCCCCCCCAATAGGGGACCCACAGCGGCTCACAACAGATAAAACGTGACTTTTAAAAAGAACACTATATAAATATATTTAAAAAACAACTAAACATATATTAAAAAATTTTTAAAAAATAAATTCACGTGTTTTTGGACAGTGGTTCTAAGAATTCTCTTAAGAATTCCAGGAACCGTAGCTCACAAGCTCAAATCTGTATACCTTCTAGGTTTCTATTGTTGATTCGTTAAAAGAAAAAACAGAAAAGGAAAAGAAACTGCTGTAGTGCTCCCTGGGAGTCATAATTTCATCATCCATTAGGCTTTACATCGGGTGCCTCCCAAAGGGAGGGCAAAACCTACAAGGCTCACCGATTTGGGTTTGTGAGCTATAGTTCCTGGAATTCTCCAACAATTCTGGGAATTGTCATCCAAAAACAGGAAAGCGCACACCCTTCGTGAATTCCACCTCTATTTAGGAAATGTTAACGCTTTGAAATACAGTGGTGCCTCGCAAGACGATTGCCTCGCCGGATGAAAATCTCGTTAGACGAATGGGTTCGGTGAGGTTTTTGGTGCCTTGCAAGATGATTCTTCCTATGGCTGTTTTTCGCACAACGAATGCGCTTGCAGAGGATAGCCAAGCCCCATTTTTGAAGATCATGCTCCTTTCCCCCTGCCTTTGGTAAGGCTCTGAAAAGGCTTTCTTTTTCCCCCCCCCCTTTTTCCGCTCGGAGGCTTGCTGAAGGCAGGGGGAAAGGGCACGATCTTCAAAAATGGTGCTGGACAAGCCTCTGCAAGCACCGCTCAGAGGGACCCCCTCCAGTCTTCCGATGGTGCAAGAGAAGCCTGGGGGGACCTCCTAAGGCAGTGATACAGGCGAGGGGGGCCCCTGCCAGTCAGGTGGTGCTTCCCCAGCTCCCTAACTGGTAAGTGACTTTTAAAAAATTCCCATAGGAATGCATTAATTAAATTTCAATGCATTCCTATGGGAAACCGCAGCTTGCAAGACGAAAATATCGCAAGACGACATTAACCCCGGAACGGATTAATTTTGTCTTGCGAGGCACTACTGTAGTTTTGACTCAGGCTCCCAACAGATAAAACATGACTTTTAAAAAGAACACTATAGAAATATAACACTATATTAAGCTCGGAGGCTTGCTGAAGGCCGGGGGAAAGGGCACGATCTTCAAAAATGGTGCTGGAGAAGCCTCTGCAAGCACCGCTCGCTGCTCAGAGGGACCCCTGCCAGTCTTCTGATGGTGCAAGGGAAGCCCGGGGGGACCTCCTAAGGCAGCGATATGGGTGAGGGGGCCCCCTGCCAGTCCTCAGATGGTGCCCCTAACTGGTAAGTGACTTTTAAAAAATTCCCATAGGAATGCATTAATTAAATTTCAATGCATTCCTATGGGAAACCGCAGCTTGCAAGACGAAAATATCGCAAGACGACATTAACCCCGGAACGGATTAATTTTGTCTTGCGAGGCACTACTGTAGTTTTGACTCAGGCTCTTGTTGAACTTCTGCTTTAATTCCGATAGGTGACGAGTGGAGACGAGACAGCGAGACAGAACTGTATGGGAGTTTAGCGAAAAGAGGAGCCTACGAAGAGCTGAAGGAGAGTATTTGGTCCCGAGAGGGCTTGGCGAGCCAAGAGAGAAACCACGCAGAGGAGAGGACAACCCAATCCCTCCCTGGTCCAGTTGAAGATTTTCATCGGATGTCACCAGACAACCGGAAAGAGAAGAGAAGGGAAAGGTCCCCCAGTGTTCCCTGGGGAGCCCCCATGGAGGAAGAACCAGACGGAAGTCTTGTGTTTGGGAAGAGCCTCCACCACAGGGGGGATTTTACAGAGCATGAAGTGCTTCACGAAGGGACGAGCTCCTATCCGTATTTGGAGTGCGAAGAGAGCTTCGCCCCTAGTACCACGCTTAGATCGCATCAGGGTCTCCTGGCCGTTGATGGGCAGTATAGAAGTTCGGACTTGAGCCCGAGCTTGGGGGATCCATCCAGCCTCCCAAAGCACCCCAGGATCCCCAGAGGGGAGAAGCTGTATAAATGCTTGGAGTGCGGCAAGTGCTTCGGCCGCAGCGCCCACCTGACTTCACACCAGATCATCCACACTGGGGAGAAACCCTACCAGTGCTTAGAATGCGGGAAGAGTTTTGTCCAGAGCGCTCACCTGGCCTCTCATCAGATCATCCACACTGGGGAGAAACCCTACCAGTGCCCTGAGTGCGGGAAAAGCTTCAACAAAAGCACGAACTTCCTTAGGCACCAGAAGATTCACAAAGGGGAGAAGCCGCACCGATGCCCAGACTGTAGCAAGAGCTTTTCGGACAAACCGAGCCTTATCCAACATCAAAGAGTTCACACTGGGGAGAAGCCGTACCAGTGCCTGGAATGTGGGAAAAGCTTCAGCCACCGGGGGAGTCTGAGCGCCCATCAGAGGATGCATACGGGAGAGAGGCCGTATACCTGCTCCGAATGCAGCAAGAGCTTCCGGGATCAATCGAGCCTGATCCGGCACAAGAGGATCCACACGGGGGAGAAGCCGTACACATGTTTGGAGTGCGGGAAGAGCTTCAGCCAGAGTACCAACCTGACTTTGCATCAGAGGATCCATGCGGAAGGGAAGCTCTCCCATGAACCTCCCTCTCTGCTCAACGCAGGCATGACTGTGTTAGTCTTTTCAGCCAATCCCGCAAAAAGTCTAGTGGCGTCGTGAAAAACTGGATCACTTCTTTTGTTGCCCCATAAAATGTCACAAGATTCCGACCCCTTTGTCACAGGCATGCGCTTAGGCCAGCGGTACACTAGAACCCTTTATCTTCAGGATCAGTATCCACTGATTCAGTGATTCATTGTCTGAAAATATTGAAAATGTTGAAAGAAAAACCTTAGAAATCTGTATTTCCAAAGATGAAATTACCATATCTAGTCACTAGAGGGAGCCAGACACCATCCTATGTACAGTATAGTACAGTGGTGCCTCGCTTAACGAGCGCACCGCATAACGATGAAATCGCATAGCGATCCGTTTTTTCGGATCGCTAATGCGATCGCTTAACGTTTTTAAAATAGGGCTAAATTCGCTTTGCAAAGACCGGTAAGCGTTTCGCTTACCGATCTTCGCAAAGCGAAGACCGACCATCAGCTGTTCGGCGGCCAAAATGGCCGCCGGAAGCCCAGAAATGGCCCAAAATGGCCGCGCGCAGCGTTTTCGCGCCCTCGTTAAGCGAGGCAAGGGCGCGAAAATTGCTGCCGGCCATTACGAAGCTTCGCTGAACGGTGAGTATTTGGCCCATTTGGAACGCATTAAACGATGTTTGATGCGTTCCAATGGGTTTTTTTGATCCGTTCAACGATGCTTCAGCATAGCGAAGGTTAATCCAGAACGGATTAACCTCGCTATGCGAGGCACCACTGTATTTGCTATTCAAATAGCAATCACTAGAATTTATTTATTTTTCAGCATCTATGGCAGGGGGTAGGGGTGGGGGCTTGAAACCAATTGACTCTGGATAAGGTGGCCTTACTGTAATGGGCAACCAGAGCAGGCCCATTGAATCAGTAAGGATTTGGTGACTCAACTCTGTAACTGTCATACAGTGGGCCTACTCAGATTGTCACCTAACTGCTGGATTTCGTCCAACTGGTTTTTCGAAGCCTACCAAGACATGATTCTATTTTACCATCACATTTGCTATTCAAATAGCATTCACTAGAACTTTTTTTTTTCAGCATCTATGGCCGGGTACCAAGACATGATTCTATTTTACCATCACTGTATTGTTTTCAGAAGTTCTTGCCTATATTTTTTTTGCCGCTGCTGTTTATATTGTGTATTTCCCTGGGTTGGCTGGAATAATTTAATTATATTTCTATTCTTGTATATTAATGGGTGTGTATTAAGTAATAAAATTGTATAAATCTGTGGTGTGTGCAAAGGGGCATCTGTGGAAGTACATTCCAAAATTCCCACGAAAGGAGGACCCAGTGGGACGGACGTACAACAGTGTTGCGATGCGGAACTCTCCCATTCGAAGGTGTACTCCTTTGGTAGCGTCTGTTTCACTCTCCACCCGCCTCAGTTTGCAAGTTATTTGCCTGGGGAGGAAGATGGCTCCATATGCTCGCTGGAGGGAAAGAGAGAAAGAAATGTAGCCCATAATACATCTGAAGTTTTTCTTCATTGTAAATGCCTGAAGAACCAGATAGTAGGATGTGTTGAACCAGTCTATACAGGCGGCTTGCATTTTTAAATGAACCCCTTGCAAAAAAAAAAAAGTTAAGTAAAATAAATACAAACTGGCATGCAGCCTTCGGTATTTTGATTCTTAAGGCTGTGGAGTTTTGGGGTTTTTTGGGGGGTCGGTGGGTCCCGTCCCCCCCTTTACAAGGGGCATCCCAACTCAGCTCTTGCAAAGCCAAGCCTGTCACTTCCTTTACGGAATCGGTCCATCTTGTATTTGGCCTTCCTCTTTTCCTACTGCCTTTCACGTTTTCCAGCATGATGAGAATCCTGCCTTCTCAGGATGTGCCCAAAATAGGAGAGCCTCGGTTTCAACATTTTTGCCTCCAAAGGTAAGTTCAGGCTTGATTTGATCTTGTTTGTCTGTCTGACAGTCCAGGGCATCTGCAATCCAGCACCATATTTCAAATGAATCTTTTCCCCCCCTGTTCGCTTTCTTCACTGTCCTACTTTCTCACCCATACACGGTGATTGGAAATACAAGAGGGTGGATGATCTTGGTCTCGGTTCCAGTAACACATCGTTGCACTTGATGATCTTTTCTAATTCCTTTCATTGCTATCCTACCAAATCGCAGTCTTCTTCTGATTTCTTGGCTGCTGCCTTCCTTTGGATGGATGATTGAACCAAGGCGTACAAAATTGCCAACTGTTTCAATTTCTTTATTGTCGACACTAAAGTTGGCTAATTCTTCTGTAATCATGATTTTTATCTTTTTAATATCTGTGAAGATTCTCAGTCATCCAGGTGAGGTTATCTGGAGGTTGAGTCATGGCAACTAGACCTCTTTCTTATTGGGTTGAAACGTTTTGCTACTCATTCCAGCAGCTTCTTCAGGTCTGAAGAGAGTTGGTGGGAGAAAGTTATCATTTTTAATCTTTTTAATGTTCAGCTGCAATCTTGAGTCTTTCACTAGAAGTTATTGCATGTCCTTGCTCCTTTCTACCAGTAAGATGGTCTCATCTGCCGATCCTGAAGCTGAGGCTCCAGTATTTTGGCCATCTCAGGAGAAGAGAAGACTCCCTGGAAAAGACCCTGATGTTATGAAAGTGTGAAGGCAGGAGGAGAAGAGGACAACAGACAGTGTCATTGAAGCGACCAACGTGAATTAGACCCAACTCCAGGAGGCAGTGGAAGATAGGAGGGCCTGGCATGCTCTGGTCCATGGGATCACAAGTCGGATGCGAATGAACAACTAAACAACAACAACAACCCCATTCAGTACAGGCTGCATCCCTCTCTCCTAGTTTTCCTTATGACTGACCAGAAGCTCCATCTGTCTCGTCTGAATTAAGTTTCAATTTGTTAGCCCTCATCCGGAGGGACGTGGTGGCGCTGCGGGCTAAACTGCAGAAGCCTGTGCTGCAGGGTCAGAAGACCAAGCAGTTGTAAGATCAAATCCACGCGACGGAGTGAGCGCCTGTTGCTTGTCCCAGCTCCCGCCAACCTAGCGGTTCAAAAGCATGCAAATGCGAGTAGATAAATAGGGACCACTTTGGTGGGAAGGTAACGGCGTTCCGTGTCTAAGTCATGTGACCACGGAAGATTGTCTTTGGACAAAAACGCTGGCTCTATGGCTTGGAAACGGGATGAGCTGTTGAGTTGAACACAACTGGACAAAAATTGTCAAGGGGAACCTTTACCTTTACATCCAGTCCACCACTGACAATAGACACTGGTTTAAGCACAGAACAGATTCCTTGGAATTAGACGGGAAAGAGAGAAAACATTTGAGTGTCATCACTGTACTGATGGTATTGAACCCAAAAACTGCAGAAAACATGTCCCCAATGGTTTCATGTAGATGTTGAAAAACACAGGGCACAGGGTTGAGCCCTGAGGGACACCGCAGGCCAACGGCCACTGTGTTGAAGAAGAGTCCCCCCCACGCACACCACCACCACCTGAATCCAACCATCCAGGAAGGACTGGAACCTATGTACCTCCAAGACCCATCCCAGAAAGGGCGATGGTTTTGAAACCTGCCGAGAGGTCCAGCAGAACCAACAGGGACACCCTCCCCCCGGATCCAGTTCTCGGTGTAGGTCATCCACCACAGTGACCCAAGCCGTGTCTGTTCTGTAACCAGGCCTGAAGCCAGACTGAAATGGCTCAAGCAACCTCTTCAATCAGGAACCTCTGGAGCTGAGAGGACACAACACGCTCCCAGCCCTTCCCCAAAAATGCAATTATGGAAACTGATCGATAATTATCCAATACCGGGGGGGGGGAGTCAAGGAAGAGTTTTAAAACCTACTGCCTCCTTTAGAAATTCTGGCACCATGCCTTATTGAACGGAATCATTTACCCCTGCCCTTACTGGCCCAGTCGTGTGCCCCGCTCCTTCACAGGAGACAGCTGCTGTCCTGTTAGGCTGTGATGTGAGGAATGCACTCTGTACATGCTCTGAGACTATACTATAAAATGTTTAAATACTTGGTTAGTCTTCTTGTTTTCTTGCGCTTGCTCCATATTGTTCCAACTTTAGACTTTATTGTTTCCATCAGAACACTTTGGATGCCTTTTTGAAAATTTTGCCTTTTCACTATACAGTATTTAATAAAAACGTTCACAATCTTTAATAAGATCGTCTCCATTCAATTGTCTCAACTTTTAGCTGCGAGGGTTTGGGGTACCTTAAGTCTTTGCCTTGAACACCCACTGGGAGTTTGTGGGTGTGGTGGCAGTTCTACCTTGCAAGGTTGGTGTTGACAGTCTTAGGCGCTTAACCTTTTGGATTTCTGGAACTCCAGGCAGGCTCCCAAGCCATCACCGCCTTTAACTCTCTTGAGCTCACCCACTCCAGAATCAATAGGGTAATGTGACCAAGTGGTTAGAGCAAGACTCTCTGAACCTTTTCCTTCACAAATTATTGATGTGTCTTCTGCTAATTTTCACTCCTTCATATGAATGTAATCTGGTTTTCTGTATGAAACGTTTGCTTGAACAAGTAACGAGATAAAATGCGCACTTGTCTGTTACTTTTGCCTACAGAAAGCCATCCTCTCTCTCTCGCTATTCTGTCCTAACCACACCCTTCTTGACCACAATACAGATTAACCATCGGGACAATCATGTACTCAGGCACATCCATTTCTTGCAGAACAACGCAGTTCTTCGACACAGTTCAAAGTTTTACCGTAGTCTATAAATCATAGTAATTTTTAAAAAGTAACTAAGGAAACGTTCCTCTTTACATCCACCACCCTGATCCAACTTTTCAATTGCACCAACAAAGTAACTCCCTTGCTCCTCATTGCTTTGTTGTTGAAACGTTCCCACCAAAACATTACTAGGGACTAGACTGACGACGTTACTTGGTAACTCGTTAGCTTTCCAGCTCCGACCCCCCACCCCCATCCGCAGCCGAT